TAACCAGGATGTTCCTGTGGCTACTGGTTAGTGTTAACATAGATGATGGATATCCATGGATGTCCCGTGGATGGACAGAAGGGTAGACAGATAGATGAAGAGAAGGACTGACAAATGAATAGACAAATCAATGGATACATGAATGCATGAATGAATGGATGGATGGATGGATAGATGGATGGACAGATGGATGGATGGATGCATGGATGGATGGATGCCTACTGTCCTGGTCTTCCTGGAATTTTCCATCTCACTAGTTGCCTCTCCATCCTTGGCATCAGAGCATCTGGATCCACGTGAGCAGGGAGCATAGCCCAGCCCTGAGCAAGGAAGACAGATCTAGATCTTCACCTCCTGGGACTCTGACCTCCAGCCAAGAGGTGATGGGACAATATGACAGAAGGTAATGTCAGAGGCAATGGGGGAATCCCAGGCTTGCCGGCTCTGTGGCCTGCGGAGAGTCTCTCTCTCTCTCTCTCTCTCTCTCTCTCTCTCTCTCTCTCTCTCTCTGCCACAGAGGCCTCATCTGTAAAATCCAGTGGCTGGAACTTCCAGGCCAGACTCCCTACAATTCTTTGAAGTGGGAACTCAGACTAGGGTATTGAGTTCTTGCTTACCTGGTTCCAATTCACTTCTTCCAGACATCATTTCCTTCTTCACTGTCTCTTTTTTCAGTCTTCTCGCAAATGCACTCCTTCTTTGGGCATTTTCCTTCTCCTCTTCACTCATCTCTTTTCTGTTCATCTTACTACTTCATACTCCTAACCATGGAATGGCCATGGCTGAACATGCATTGGGGCTGCCCGATTTCCTCCCTGCCTGGGCATGTGGGTGCTTAACTGCTATTTCCTTTTTTTTTTCTTTTCCTTTTTTTTTTTCTTTAATGATGGATAGGCAGCACCCAGCCCTGGAGGGGAGACACACAGCTGAAGCTGTGGTTCTGAGAGACTCTGAGTTTTGTTGGAACCCAGAAGCCCCACAGGAAGATTTTCTAAGACAGAATTTTGGAGTGCCTTCAGTCCCGACTCCCTGGATTAACGCCCTGTGAGCAGACAATGGAGCATAGTGGGAAAAAGTCCAGCAATCTGAGCTAGGCTACTTCTCTGGGCAGCTCACATCCCCTTTTTTGCTTCAGTTTTTCTATCTATGAAATGAGAGTGTGACCCGTCTATAAATTCATGCAAAAGGAATCCGATTGCTTGGTTCAAATTTCAACCACGCCACTTACCATCTACGTGACCTTGGGAAGTACAGTTCTGTCTTTAAGCCTCAGTTTCTTCATCTGTAAAGTGGGGATGATGAGACCACCCACCTTTTAGGCAGAGAAATACAAATTCCAGGTGTTCTGACCCAATCTTGCCCAGCTGAACCCTCCCCTTCCCATCTTTTCTCCCCCTCTAGACTGTCTCTGTCATACACTCAAGAAACAATTGGACAATTCTTGTTAAGAGCCTGAAAAATAGGAGTGCTTGACTGGCTCAGCCCATAGAGCACACGACTCTTTTTTTTTTTAAGATTTTATTTATTTATTTGACAGAGAGAGAGAGAGAGAGACAGCGAGAGAGGGAACACAAGCAGGGGGAGTGGAAAGAGGGAGAAGCAGGCTTCCCGCTGAGCAGGGAGCCGGATGCGGGGCTCGATATGGGGTTCGATGCGGGGCTCGATCCCAGGACCCTGGGATCATGACCTGAGCCGAAGGCAGACGCCTAATGACTGAGCCACCCAGGCGCCCCGAGCACACGACTCTTGATCTCAGGGTTGTGGGTTCGAGCCCCATATTGGGTGTAGAGATTACGTAAAAATAAAATCTTAAAAAAAGAGAGAGCCTGAAAAATAGACATACCCTTTAGCCTACTAACTCTACTGCTGAGATGTGAGGACATCATTTGACGTGGAGGAAAAGATGTAACTATAGTGTTCCTCTGAGTTGTTTATAATCACAAAAACTTGGAAACAACTAGTGATCATTAAAAGGGGAATGTTTGAGTGAAGGACTTTTTGTTTATGGCTGGGATATTTTGTGACTATCAAAATTATATTTGTGAATCATTTACATTAACATGGAAAAGTACATAAAAATACACGAATGAATAAAAGGAAAACACAAATTTACATATATAGACGGAATGGTGTAAAAAAAAAAAGCAAAAACAAAATCAGCTCCCCAAAGAAAAGGTTGCAGGGAAGCATTCAAAGTTTATACACGAAAATATAAATAGTGGTTATTTCTGAATAGCAGGGTTTGAGTGGTATTTATTTTCTAACTTTTGTACAAATGCATCGTTTGTGTATATTTTCCCATTAGTATATTTTTTAACGTTAACAAAATATATTTAGAAATAAAACTAGAAGGAAATAAACCAAAATGTTAACAGTGCTTGTTTTTGGACAGTATAGGGGATTGTATTTTCTTTAATCAGTGTTGTGTTTTTTTAAATGAACTTTGTGTTTATTCAATGAAAATCGTATTTTCCTTAATAAACATATATTAGAATTATATATAGCTAGGCTACATTTTTATTAGTTTTTTTAAAAATTATGAATGTATGCTTACATTAAGAGAAAAATTCAATCAGTACACAGAAGTGTAAGGTGAAAGGGCGCCTGGGTGGCTCAGTCGTTAAGTGTCCTAGGATGGAGCCCCGTGTTGGGCTCCCTGCTCGGCGGGGAGTCTGCTTCTCCCTCTCCCACTCCCCCTGCTTGTGTTCCCTCTCTCGCTGTCTCTCTCTGTCAAATAAATAAATAAAATCTTAAAAAAAAAGTGTAAGGTGAAAAGTAAAAGTTCTTGACCCCTCTTTACCCCTTAGTCTCCTTCCCCAAAAGTAACTGTTACCAGATTCATGTGTGTTCTTCCAGGAGATTTTAAATTTTCTGTGCATATACACTTAGGTATGATCATCCATTTATATATAGATCATATATATTATTATCCTGAATATGTATATTATAAATATATATTTTTAAAAAGATTTTATTTATTTATTTGACAGACAGAGAGGGAACACAAGCAGGGAGAGTGGGAGAGGGAGAAGCAGGCTTCCCGCAGAGCAGGGAGCCCGATGTAGGGCTCGATCCCAGGACCCTGGGACCACAACCTGAGCCGAAGGCAGATGCTTAACGACTGAGCCACCCAGGCGCCCCTATTATAAACATATTCTGATACATAAATTATTCTGAAACTTGCTTTGTTATTCAATGCAGTATAAATTTGGGGGCTATCTTTACATGTATGGTATTCTCTTATAATGACTACAAAACATTCTACTCTAATGTCACATGATAATTTATTTAATTAATCCCCTATCGATGACCATCAAGGTTGATGGTGAACATCAACCTTGTTGCTAGCTTATGCTTTTATAAACACTGCTACAATGAACATATTTGTTTATACTATTTACCTTTTCCCACCCCTGTGAATATATCTGTAGAATAGTACAGATGTGGAATTGTTGGGGCCCAAGGGTTTGTGTATTTTTAAATTTCAAGATATTGTCATCCATTAACATAAATATACATAAGACACATGAAAAGACAAATGGGAAAAAACTCAATGTGTTAAGTTGTGCCAAAAGTGGGCAGTGTAAGTGTGCAAAACAAACACACAGAAATAAAACCGAAAAGCCTGGAGTAGAAATAAATCATCAAAGGCCTTATACTTAAATATTAAAGGTGACTTTCTTTGGGTGCGATCAGAGGTGGTTTTTACACTTCACTTTCTCAGTGTTTTACACTGATTCTGAATTTCTTTCCTCATCAGAAAACTGTATCGCAGATATTATGAAAAGTATCTTTTTTAATTACGAAAGGCAACACACAGTCGTCGTAACAAGCCCAAAATAAAGAAATGTGTTACAAGAACATGTTCATCATGTCCTCCTCATCTCCAGATTCGTTCCCTGAGGTAAGCAACATTCAGGGCCCGGTGAGAATACTTCCAGACTTTTTTTTTAGAGCATGCTATTTTTACACGGGAAAAGAGAGAATGAATAAAAGACCTTTGGGGGGAAAAAAAATTTTTTTTTTTTTTTAAATGTAAGGCCTCCCCTGGCCCTTTCGCAGACCATCGCTCCCTACCTCCTACTCTGCCAAAGCTGTTTGCCCTCTTTCCACGTCCAAACGTCTTGGCGTCAAAGAAACCCACTCGGGGCCCTGCTCCCCGGAGGCACCTGCGCCTCGGCCTTGGCCGGGGGTCAGCAGAAATCAAGGCCAGGCCCAGGAAGCGCCCGGCCCCGGCCCGGGCGAGCAGGCGCTCCCCAGCCCGCGGAGCGAGGGGCCCCGGCCGGGCAGGCGCGGGACTCCCGGCGAGGCCTCCCTCGGACGAGGGTGGAGTCTGCAGCGCCCGGGCCCCGCTCCCGCCCGCTTTCTCCAGGAGTAATTAAGAGTGAAATCCTCCTCCCGGTGACCCCGGTGCTCCCGGCCCGGGCTGATTTACACATGAAAGGTGCACGGAGGGCCTGGGCTTTCTCCTTTTCACATTCACAATGAGGCGCGGCCTATAAATAAAACCTCTCTGAGAAACAAGAAGCTTCAAAAATGTCTTTGTGTGTGTGTGTGTGTGCGCGCGCGCACACACACGAGCGCGCGCACACACACATCACCAAGTGTTTGTTTTGCACACTTACACTGCCCACTTTTGGCACAACTTAACACACTGAGGTTTTTTCCCATTTGTCTTTTCATGTGTCTTATGTATATTTATGTTAATGGATGACAATATCTTGAAATTTAAAAATGCACAAACCCTTGGGCCCCAACAATTCCACATCTGTGCTATTCTACAGATATATTCACAGGGGTGGGAAAAGGTAAATAGTATAAACAAATATGTTCATTGTAGCAGTGTTTATAAAAGCATAAGCTAGCAACAAGGTTGATGTTCAGAGACAGAGAGACCCAGAGCGAGGGAGAGCTTGAGAGAGCTAGAGCGGGGAAGAAGGAGAAGGACATCCCAGTAACAACGGGTGTTTATTGAGTGCTTACTGTGTGCCCGGCATCTTCACATCATCCCTGTGGGAGAGACTTGATGATTCCTATTTTACAGATGGTGAAACTGAGGTTCGGGGAGGGGAGGACCTGCCCCAGGTTCCGCAGTGAATCAGGCGGTCATCTTGGACCCAGGAAGTCGGATGAGCTGCGAACGATGTTGCTCTTTCTTCATCACGATAGTCGTCCCAGCACCGTCTGTATTTGTTAAAACTCACAAAGCAACAACAGCAAAAAAAGAAAGAAAAACAACTTCACGGGACTCTACAACTGAAAGGGGAGAATTTTACTCTATGTGAAGCATACTGCAATAACCTGACTTTTAAATGATAGAATTAAAAAAAAAAAAAAAAAAGAACAAGTACAAAACCCCCCCAAAGACGTTAATGGGCTTTCAGTGGGTGAGGTCCCCTGGGTGTGTGGGGCCTCTAGCAGGGCTGTTTCCTCATTCGCCGCTGTATCTTCAGCCTCAGGGCCTGATACGTGGGAAATGTTTGCTTGCTTTAATGAATGAATGAGCCAAATAATTCTCTCTGGACTCATTTCTCCATCTACACAATGAGAAATTGATGAAACACGAAGACGAACACCTCTCAACCAACTCAGAGGTCGCCTCCTCCAGGAAGCCTTCTAGGATTCACCTCCCACTCCTGAACTGGATCAGGTGCCTGTACTGGGTTCTCACAGAGCCAGGTTGTTTTCCTATGTCTGCAGTGACCCTACTGTATAGTATTTCTCTGCTTCTGTGTGTCCTTCATTTGAATATTCAGGTTCTCTGACGTAGGGCCCATGTCTGTTTTGCTCATCTCTGTACTCCCAGTGCCTGGCACACCGCAGGTGGAATATTTGATGAACTAATGATTGGATGCATTTAGTAGTTCTGGTCTGAGGTCCAAAATGGGATCATGCTGGTGTTGGCTGAAGCTGGAGGAGGGTCCAAAGCAGCAGAAGTGGGCCAGGTTACTGAACCAGGAAATCCTGGTGCAGCAGAGATTAGTTGAAAGTCCTGACTTCTAGAGCACCTTAGAAAGCAATCTTGCCATGACTCCTGCAGGAAATTCAAGTCTTCTCCTGCATGGGGCAGGGGGGTTGGGAGAGCAGCCAGACTCTAGAGGGCAGGTGGTTTGGGCGTGGGGGGAGTCAGGCCCTGGGAGCCGCCAATCTGCCTGCATCTGTTTGGAGCAGAGGGTGGGTTGGGACACATGGGGCACATGGATCTGGTCAACTTCCAGCTCTTCTTCTTAGCTGTCATTCAGCCTCACCAAGACCCAGTCTCCACATCTGGGTAGGGGGGAGAGTATAATTATACCTACCTCAACACGTTTATTAGATAAGGCAAAGGGACATAATGAGGTCAAAATGCTTGCTATCGTGTAGCTGCACAGAAATATTTAAAAACATCTCACATCTTTTCCCATTTCTCTCAAATGTTTTTAGCCCTAATTAGAGCTGCCACTTGTGAGTCTCTAATATCGACTCTTCCTAACGTTTATTGGGTCCCTGCCGTGGGTCAGGCACTGTACTATGCATTTTACATGTATTATCTCACTTAATCTTCACAATCTCCTTGTAAGGTAGGTTTGTGATCATTCCTATTTTCCAGAGAGGAAACAAGCTCAGAGAGGTGCAGTGACTTGTCTGAGATCACACAGCCTCTAAGTGATAAACCTGGGATAGGAAACATCTGTTCATTTGAGGGAGCACCATAATCCCCTGGAAGGCTTGTTCAAACACAGATTGCTGGGTCCCACCCCTAAATTTCTGATGCAGCAGGTCTGGGGTGGAGCTCGAGAATTTGCATTTCTAACAAGTTCCCAGGTGATATTGCTGTTGCCGGTCCTGGAGTGCACTTTGAGAACCACTGCCTAATACCAGGATCTCTCCACTGTCATTATCCCACTTAGGCATGTTATGTCACGTCCAACCTATCCTATTACAATGGGCTCAATTCAAAGAATTTGAAGTCTAGTATATTCATCTAGCACTTGGCATATGTTACTGTATATTCTTAATTAACTAAAAAAAAAAAAAACCTTTCACCCATTTTAAAGGTGCAGAAAAATAACTAAAAAATATAAGAAGGACAGAATCTGCTTTGGTCTTGCAAATGACTCAGAGAATGACTTTTTGTTATACGAGGTGGTATAGTAGAAGCTTTCTGGATTAACTAACTCACTGGATTAAGAACTCACTGAAGCTGGCTCACCGGATCAACCAACACTCATCTTGCCTACTGCAAAACCCGGAACGATGCCATGCCCACAGCAGCTGGAGGACTCATTCCCAGTATGACCAGCCACTAACTCCTCCTGATGACTTAACGATGTGACTGTGTGCCTCCCAAGAGTCAGCTGGGTTGGTTCTTCAATCAGTTATTCTTGTTTTTAAATCATGACATTGTGACAAATTGATAACACAGAAGTTGGAAAAGAAAACTGATGTTTCTATAAACCCAGCTGAGTGCTCTGGAAAGATTCTTTAAAAGTTAGTTAGTATGTGTCATTATACAATTGTCCAAACCTATAGAATGCACTACCTTAAGAATGAAGCCTAATGTAAACTCTGGACTTTGGGTGATGATGATGTGTCATTGTGGGTTCATCAATTCTAACAAATGTACTACTCTGGTGGGGGATGTTGATAGTGGGAGAGGCTATGCATGGGCTGGGGCAGGGAGTATCTGTATCTCTTGCTAATAATTGCTGTGAATCTAAAACTTCTCTCAAAACCAAAATCAATAAGAAAGAAGAGGAAAAAAGAAAAGAAAGAAGCAAAGCCCCAGCTTGACCCACTACGGTCATATAGGATGAGCAAAAAATAAACTTTTGTCATAAGCCACTGATTGTGGGGGAAGTGCGTTGGGTTAGGTGTGGTCTAGACAAGGAAAGACTCTCGGATGGGAATGGAGGTGGAATTCTAAAAATCTGGACAACAAGGGCCTTCAGATCTACATCAACTTTTAAGAAGGTCAGGGGAGTGGTTCCTGTAAGAAGGATGTGGGAAAACTCCAACCAGCTGGCTCAGATCAGGCCCAAAGACAAAGCTTTGGCCCTACATCAAAAGATTGGTGAATGAATATATAGCAACAGGTTTTTAATTAAAATAGAATATTTAAGGGTTATAAGTATTATTTTTATCATTTCCTGTTTCAGTGGGCTTTTTAAATAAATTTACCAACTACTCACTCATCTGATCAGATTACATAAGAGCTCCTACTACAGAATATTTTATTTAAAAAAAAAAGAGGGAAGGGGTTGTACAGTTCCTAATTATTTATTGATTTCTATTTCATCTCTCTCCAGCCAGTAATATCTAATATTGGCACAGCACTTTACAGTTTATAAAACACTTTCAAGTCTATTTGTCTCTCACAACTACTCTGGGCAGCAGGCCTTATTACCCTCTTTCTACAGGCTGGGAAAATGAGGTTTGGAGAAGGGAAATAAAGGCTTCGAGTAAAGCAGGGCATTCAAACTGGGGCAAGAACTTAGACTTAATCCAAGTGCCTAACTTACCCCCAGGGCATTGTGTTAACAAAGGAATCAGAATACAAGCACTGAGCTTTTATCAATTGAGGCCAAGAGGCCTTGGGGTGTGAGGTAGGGATTAAGGACTAGAGACTGTGTCTGGTTCACCTCTGGATCCTGGCACATAGTAGGCCCTTGGGAAATATTCAATGCTTGGTTGAAGAAATGAAGAGTGACTAAACGAATGAATGAACGAGTGAATGAAGAAACTTAGAGCAAGGCCCCTTCTCTCTCTGGTCTCAGTCTCTCCATCTTTAACTTGAAAGCTAGGGTTCTCTTAGGAAATATGAACAGACATACACAATTGTGTCCTCTATTTCTGGATGTTCGTAGAACAGCCTCCTGAACCCCCACTATAGATTTCCTGGGAAAGGGGGGGATCTATGGAACCTTGAGTAGGAAGCTCTTGAATTTGAGGATCTGAGATCCCTTCTAGCTCTGATGTTAATGGTTGTACTGATGGGGCGCCTGTGTGGTGGGGTCGGTTGAGCAGCTGACTCTTGGTTTTGGTTCAGGTCATGATCCCAGGTCATGAGATCCAGCCCTGCATAGGGCTCTGCACTTAGCACGAGAGTCTGCTTGTCCCTCACCCTCCCCCTTTGCCCCCACCCCATGCATTTTTTTTCTCTCTCTCAAATAAATAAATAAAGCATATTTTAAAAAGATTTTATCTATTTATTTGACACAGAGAGAGAGACAGCAAGAGAGGGAACACAAGCAGAGGGAGTGGGAGAGGGAGAAGCAGGCTTCCCGCAGAGCAGGGCACCCAATGCGGGGCTCAAACCCAGGACCCTGGGATCATGACCTGAGCCGAAGGCAGATGCTTAACCACGGAGCCACCCAGGTGCCCCAATAAATAAAATATTTTTAAAAATAGTTGTAATGATAACAACAACCATAATAATAGGATCCAGAAGTTTTTGGACACTGACTTTGGGCCAGGCACTATGCTAAGAGCTTTACCTCATTTCATCTCTCCAAAGCCCTATGATGCAGGCATTCTTCTTCTCCTTCTTCTTCTTCTTCTTCTTCTTCTTCTTCTTCTTCTTCTTCTTCTTCTTCTTCTTCTTCTTCTTCTTCTTCTTCTTCTTCTTCTTCTTCTTCTCCTTCTTCTTCTTCTTCTTCTTCTTCTTCTTCTTCTTCTTCTTCTTCTTCTTCTTTCTCCTTCTCCTTCTCCTTCTCCTTCTCCTTCTTCTTCTTCTTCTGCAGATGAAGACCCCGAGGCTTAGAGAGATCAAATATGTTGCTCGCATTGCAAGTAAGGAAGTAGCATCCTTAGTTTCCAATTTAACACTGTGGACAGCGGAGACTCAACACTCTCCCACCCCCATTCCAGCAGAGTATAAACCTATGACCTCCATGTGGCTATTTTGAGGCCAAACTCAAGTTGCTGTATCTGGAGAAGGTATTATAAGGCTGGCAAACATTCATTCATTCAAGCGTTCATTCAACAATCATGTATGAACACCTCTGATGTACCAGGCTCAGACTGGCTAATGGGGGTTCACAAAGATGATGGTCCCTGCCCTCAAACGTGCGATTGTTTATTGCATCATTCCTCTGATGCCCCTCATACCAGAATCACCGTGTGAGCAGTTACAAGGCAGATTCTCAGGCCCTACTCCAGTCTCTGGAATCACTCTCTGAGGTTGGAGCCTGGGAATCTGCATCTTACAAGCTCCCCCAGGTAAGTCATAGGCACTGAGGTGTGGGAACCCCTGCGTGGAGGGAGGGGCGACCTAGATAAGCAAACAAGCAATCATTGCATAGAGAAGTTTTCTATATGGATTGTGGGGGTTGCCAGGGAAGGCTTCTTGGAGGAGGTGTTTAAGATGAAATCTGAGGAGTGAGCAAGAGTGAACAAGGCAAGAGGAAAGAGGAACAGCAATGAAGAAGCTGGTCTCTGCCCTCAGGGAGGTCACAGCCAGGGGAACTGGGAGAGAAAGCTACAACCTAGCGGAATGGTGAGGCCAGGAGCCTGGGGGAAGAGGTGCCTGGCTTAGCCTGCGCTATTAAGAAGACTTTGCAGAGGAAGGAACTGCCCAATGCTTTCTCAGATAGAAGCATCTGCTTCATCCCACCTTGGGTGAAGAAAATGGGCGTGGAAGAGAATTCGGGCTGGCCGGGAGGTGTGGTCTCCCAGGACGTTAGAGGCTTCTCTTATCAGCCTAATGGTGGGTGGAAGCCGATCATCCTCTAATCTGGATGCTGTTTTCACCTCCATTGTCAATGCTAAGCCTTTGTTTGTTTGAACTAAGGCCTTCTATCTAGAGTCCTTAGCATCTAGCAGCAAATGGTGACATTTGAATAAGTGGAGAATTCCTTTGTAAAGGGCCCCGGAGAACACCTGCTCCTTAGATCCACTCTATTACAAAACAATTGCAGGATCTCTTCCCAGTTGGAATGACCCTCCTGGTAACTCATGGAATGAACAATGGAATGACACATCGATAACTCATACTGAGGTGGGTAGCAGGATTCTGGCCCTGGCTAGCCTGGATTCAAATCTGCCCTTGGCCACTTTCTAGTTACCTGTCCTTGGACACATGTTACTTGACTTTCCAATGCTTCAATTTCCTCCACTGGCAAAGGAGGCTAATAATAATACCTACAATCTCCAAAGAGGTTTGTTTTTCTTTTTTTGTGTGGGTTTCTTTAGGTTTTGTTTTGCTTTGTTTTTAAAGAATAGACTGAATTTTTCTATGAAATGCTTGGAAGAGTGCTTAGCAGACAGTAGAACCACAGAAAATGTTGGGTGTTAGCATTCAGGTGCCAGGAACAGTGCAAAGTGTTGGGGATACAACAACTAAAGACAAATTAAATGCCTTCATAGAACTCACACTCTAGGGGCGCCTGGGTGGCTCAGTCGTTAAGTGTCTGCCTTCGGCTCAGGTCAGGATCCCAGGGTCCTGGGATCGAGCCCCACATCTGGCTCCCTGCTCTGCGGGAAGCCTGCTTCTCCCTCTCCCACTCCCCCTGCTTGTGTTCCCTCTCTCGCTGTGTCTCTCTCTGTCAAATAAATAAATAAAATCTTAGAAAAAAAAAAAAAACACTCTAATGGAAGAGATGAAGAGCAAACCAAACTAAAAAACAAAACAGAACAAAAACAGGTTACGATTTGTGCTATTAAAAAAATGATACTTGGGACACCTGGGAGGGGCAGTTGGTTAAGCCTCCAACTCTTGGTTTCAGCTGAAGTCATGATATCAGGATAGTGATATTAATCCGTCAGGCTCCTCACTCAGCACACAATCTGCTTGAGACTTTCTCTCCCTCTCCCTCTGCCCCTTCCCCCTCAAATAAATAAATAAATCTTTTTTAAAAATGATACTTCCGTGGCACCTGGCTGGCCCAGTCAGAAAAGCTTGTGGCTCTTGACCTCGGGATCATGACTTTGAGACCCATGTTGGGTGTAGAGAGTATTTTTTCTTTTTAAGATTTCATTTATTTATTCGAAAGAGAAAGCGTGCATATGTGAGCACAAGCAGGGGGAGCTGCAGAGGGAGATGGAGAAGCAGGCTCCCCACCCGATGCGGGGATTGATCCCAGGACCCCGGGATCATGACCTGAGCTGAAAGCAGACGCTTAATGGACTGAGCCACCCAGGTACCCTGGGTGTAGAGATTATTTAATAAATAAACTTAAAAAAATTCTTTTAAAAAATGATACTTGCGATAAAGACAAGTATCACCTTTTCACCTTTGGAGAAAGTGACCAAGCAAGGCCTCTTCTGGAAGGCTGATATTTAAGGGGAGGCACACCACAGGACAAGCAGGGAAGAGGGTTCCAGACAGAGGGCCCAGCAATTGCAAAGGCCCTGAGGTGGGAATGAGGTTGGCTTGTTCAAGGAACAAAGAGGCAAACAGCTAGAGTGCGACACAGGAAGTGATGAAGACAAGATATGAACCTGGGTTCAGTTTGGCCAGGAATTTCATCACGTGTTTTAATTGCATCAGTTTGCTGCAGGGTTCAAGTTCATTCCATGTTCTCAAACTTGAATGGAGACCTAGAGTCTGATTGAAGTGTGAGAGTGGCCTTCATCACAGGTTAGGTTTATCCTTTTATTTTTTATTTTTTAATATTTTATTTATTTATTTGATAGAGAGAGATAGCAAGAGCAGGAACACAAGCAGGGGGAGTGGGAGAGGGAGAAGCAGGCCTCCCGCGGAGCAGGGAGCCCAATGCGGGGCTCCATCCCAGGACCCTGGGATCATGACCTGAGCCGAAGGCAGACACTTAACGACTGAGCCACCATAACCAGGGAGCGGATAGGGCCTAGAAATTAAGGAGAGGAACTGACCATGGGCAGCCCAGGCTCCCTTCTCTTCCTCCGCTGCAAAGTCTACAAATAGAAACAAGGTTATAGGTGCCATTTAAATCAAACAATAGCTCTATAGGGTGGGCCCACGGGGGACTTTTACCTTCTAATTTATTTCGGTCTCAAGTTTTTACAACAAGCATATTTCCTTTCGTCATTAGAAGAACAACAGGAGCAAAATAATAATAATAAAAATCTTCAAGGTAAAAAAAAAAATTTTTTTTTAGGACAATTCGTATTTGTTACTGTGCTGCCTGTCATGGGAAATGCAGACATAGGGGTGTGGTGGTTACCTGGGTGGAGTTTAGGCTCTAGCCGTAGAGTGCATGATGCTGTCAGATGAAAACAGATATGACGTTATATTGCTTGGTAGAGTCTAAAAGTTGTGTCAAAATTTAAAGAAGAATTTTGGGGTGCTGGGTGGCTCAGTCAGTTGAGCATCTGACTCTTGATTTTGGCTCAGGTCATGATCTCAGGGTCCTGGGATTGAGCCCTGCGTGGGGCTCCCCACTCAACGGGGAGTCCGTTTCTCCCTCTGCCTCTCCCCCTGCTCATGCTCTTTCTTTCTCTCAAGTAAATAAATAAAATCCTTTAAAAAATAAAGAAGCAGAATCACCTTGTTTAAAAAAATATTGACTAAGCACTGTTTGGTGTTGGGATACAGGAGTAAGCAAGACAGACAAGGTCCCTGCTGTCATGGAGCTGCCAGGCTCCTTAGACGTTAGGGGGATGAGGAGCAGAAAGAGCACTGCTGGCAGAGGAAACAGCATGAGCAAAGCCCCTGAGGTTGGAAATAAAAATGGAAACAGAAACAGAAAGAAGGCTAGCTCAGAGGATGTGTCCTTAGTGAAAATAGTGAGATAGACAGTGATTGTATCCTTCAGGGCGGTGGAGGTCAGAATAAGGGTTTTTTCCTAAGGGAACAGGAAGCCATTGAAGGGTTGCAAAGTGGAGTGGCGGCATAGTCAGAATTGCACTTTAGAAGGGTCACCCTGGCTGCTAAATGGAGAATAGACTGGAGGCAGTGAGCTGTAAGGAGAGAGACCAGCCTGGAGACTACTGCAATAGTCCAGGGGAGACAGAACAGTGGCCATAACTAAAGCAGGGGTGGAGAAGATGAGAGAGACATTTCCTTCTTTTCTTTTTTTATGTAGAGGGAGCCCAATGTGGGGCTTGAACTCACAACCCTGAGATCGAGACCTGAGCTGAGATCAAGAGTCGGTTGCTTAACGGAATGAACCACCCAGGTGCCCCAAGAGATATTTCTAAGGTAAAATCCAGTTGGTGGTTGACTGGTTGTGAGAATGAAGGAGGAGGAGACAATGAGAAAGACCGATCCCTAGTTTGTTAGTGTGGGGACTACATGGATGGTGATGCTGTTCTCAGGCCACCTAACCACTGACAAGAGATGCCTGAAATTAATAATCTAGTAGGAGAGCCAGGCAGGGAGACAATCATCCATCACACACAGGAAAATGAAATGTGCAAGAAGAGTGATGCTGGCAGGGCCTCTGGGGGCAAAGAGGGAGGGGGATGGGTTCTGGCTGGGGAGCCTCAAAGGGCAAAGAGATCATAGTAGATGGAACAGTTGGAGAGAAGCTGGAGAAAGGAGGCTGGGAAGATGACACATGATATAGGGCTTGGAGAAGACCTATGTGGTTGAGACATAAAGTGGGTGGAGGTGCTCCCAGGAGGCCCTACCTGGCTGTCCGAGGAGTCAGTGAAGAGAACTCACACTCAGTTCTAGAAGAGGACTTGGTTTTTCCTGTGTTTTAGAAAATCAGTGGTGAGTGTGTAAGAGGCAGTGAAATAGGTGCTTGTCTATGCACAGAATATCTCTAGAAGATTCGTTAGAAATCTCTAGTATGGTGACCTTCTTTGTAATAAAACTGTGGTTGGAGGGGCGCCTGGGTGGCTCAGTCGTTGGGCGTCTGCCTTTGGCCCGGGTCCGTGATCCCAGGGTCCTGGGATCAAGCCCCGCATCGGGCTTCCTGCTCTGCGGGAGGCCTGCTTTCCCTCTCCCACTCCCCCTGCTTGCGTTCCCTCTCTCACTGTGTCTCTCTCTGTCAAATAGATAAATAAAAAATCTTTAAGAAAAACAAAACAAACAAAAAACAAAACTGGGTTGGAGGACAGGGATGGGAGGTGACTTTCCCTTTTTTATTTTTATTTTTTTATTTTTTGGTAATTTGAACCATGTAGATGTATTACCTATTTGATACTCCAATACTTAAATAATTATTAAGAAAAAAGTATGTACTGGGGCACCTGGCTGGCTCAGTCAGTGGGGTGTGCAACTCTTGATCTCGGAGTCATGAGTTCAAGCCCCACATTGGACGTAGAGCCTACTTAAAAAAAAAAAAAAAAGGCATGTACTGGTTGAATGCAGAGACTGGGGTCAGACAGCTGTGCATTTGATCTTGCCTCAGTCAAGCTTGTCTCTAGTTGTGTCAGTTTTTGCTTCTCTAAGGCCCAGTTTCCTCATCTGTAAAATGGGGATAATAGTGCTTCTTACTTCATGGGTTGTTGGAAGAATTAAATGGGATAATCTATGTCAAGTGCCAGCACGGCAGTGAGGATAGGCTAAATAGATGCTATTAGTATCAGTAATTTAATGGTAAATTAGACGGGCACATACCCGCTCCAAGGGTAATCTCAGTTTGACACACAGGGTCGGGTCGAGGGAAGGCATTTGGAATCAAACACAGCTGAGGTCTCTGTAAGTGAGGACTACCTCTCTAAGCTACAATGGCCCTCCTCTGCAAATGGGGATGCTAACACACCTCCCTCCTAAGATCAAAGAGCTGCTGGGTGGGGACAGTTTGTCAATGCCAAGTGCAGGACCCTGTGAATTATGTTACAAAGATGAAGATTTTCAGGATGATCTCTCTTTCTCTCTCTCTCTC